AGGACGGCACCATCACCGTGTCTGACGGCAAGACCATGGAGCATCAGCTGGAGGTAGGGCGTCGATTGACTCGCCAAGGCACAAGACTCCGCTCAGGTTGTGGAAGGCATGCAGTTCAACCGTGGCTACATTTCTCCCTACTTCGTCACCAACAACAAGACTCAGTCGGTCGAGTTTGAGAATCCTCTCATCTTGGTGCATGAGAAGAAGATCAGCTCCATTCAGGTGAGGAGTCCTCCCTTGTTGGGTTGTAATTTACTCTTTATTCCAGTCCATTCTCCCCGTGCTCGAGTACGTGGTAAAACTACAGCGACCCCTCCTTATTATTGCTGAAGACGTCGATGGAGAGGCGCTGGCTACTCTCGTTGTCAACAAGCTCCGTGGTGGCCTTAAGGTCTGCGCTGTAAGTGTCTTGACGATTGGCTTGGCACACAGGAGTTTGGTGTGGTGTAGGTCAAGGCCCCCGGATTCGGCGATAACCGCAAGTCCCAGATGCAGGATATCGCTACTGTTTGCGGCTGCGAGGTGGTCAGTGAGGAGACTGGCACCAAGCTCAGCGACGACTTCAACCCGTAAGTTTGGTAGTTCACTGTCAGTGTCTTGAGAGTATTTCGGTGGTATTCAGTGCATTGCTCGGCTCATGCAAGTCTGTCTCCGTCAAGAAGGACGACACCATTATTCTTGATGGCGCGGGAGCTCGAGAGGAGATAGATGACAGATGCGAGACCCTCCGTGATGCTATTGACAGCACCAGTAGTGAGTACGAGAAGGATAAGCTCAAGGAGCGTCTCGCCAAGATGAGCGGTGGTGTTGCTGTCATCAAGGTGAGCACTGCTGATTTCTGGGTTTGTTGTTAACTACGTTGTAGGTTGGCGGTTCCTCCGAAGTGGAGGTGTCCGAGGTCAAAGATCGTCTCAATGACGCCCTCCACGCCACCAAGGCCGCTGTTGAGGAGGGTATCGTGCCCGGCGGTGGGTCCGCTCTCTTGAGGTGACCATTTAGGGAATGCATTTGGTGGCTCTGAC